TTGATTGACCATTAGGATACATAATCTCGACAAAAAAAAATTGAGACTTCATCGTTTTAGTAAGAAGGTACCTTATGATTTAGATTAAGGAAAACTTTGAAAGGTCACAACTTTTTTTCTATTATAGATAGAAAGCTGAAACTTTCACTGAATTTTATCCCAATCAAGGGACTACAATCCCTGAAAATTTCAGCTCATTCGAACTTATAGTTCCTTAGATAAAATCGTGTTAAGCAATTTGGAGTGATTTATCAATTTTTCAATTTTTCTGAGTGCAATTTTTCTGGAACAAATAAAGTTGTTGAAATCCCTTGGAAATCGCTGAAAAAAAAATCAAAACTCGTTTCAGGCACAAATTTTGAGTTTGAAAACTCTCTAGAAGTCCAGGATGTTCCAAAACCTAAAATATTCCAGAAAGTTTTAATTTGAATTTAAAATTTTCTAGAAAATTCTTAAGTATTTCCAGAATGTTCTTCGGAACAAACAAACTCGTTGAAATTTCATAAAAATCGTTTGGAAAAAATTGTTAAAACTCGTTTGAGGCACAAATTTCGAATTTGAAAACTCTCCATAGAAGGTTCCAATTTGAATTTACAATTTTCTAGAAAATTCTGAAATGTTTCACGTTCTTTGGAACAAATAATCTAGTTTACATCCCATATGAAAATCGCTGGAAAAAAAAATTGGAATCTCGTTCAAGGCTCAAGTTTCGAATTTTAAAACTCTTCATAATGTTCCAAAACCTTCTAAACTGCTCCAGAGAGTTTCAATTTGAATTAAGAATTTTCTAGAAAATTCCTTAATGTCCCACAACATTCTAGTTCCAATTTGAATTTTCTAAATGTTTTTTCCAGAATGTTCTCTGCAACAAACAAACTCGTTGAAGTTCCATAAAAATCCTTGGATTTTTTTTTTTTAAAACAACTCTCCAGAATGTTCCAAAATCTTCTGAAATACTCCCAAAAGTTCCAATTTGAATTTAGAATTTTCTAGAAAATTCCATAATGTTTCACAACTTTCCAGAATGTTCTTTGTAAGTGATAATCTCGCTGAAATTTCATGAAAATTGCTGGAAAAATTACTCGTTTAAGGGTCAAGTTTCGAGTTTGAAATCTCTCAAAAATGTTCCAAAACCATCTAAAATGCTTCAGAAAGTTCCAACTTAAATTTGCTAGAAAATTCCTAAATGTTTCACAACTTTCCAGAATGTTCTCTGCAACAAACAAACTCGTTAAAGTTCCATAAAAATCGTTGGATTTTTTTTTTAAAACAACTCTCCAGAATGTTCCAAAATCTTCTGAAATACTCCAAAAAGTTCCAATTTCAATTTAGAATTTTCTAGAAAATTCCATAATGTTTCACAACATTCCAGAATGTTCTCTGGAACAATTAAATTTGTTAAAATTCCATGAAAATCGTTGGAAAAAAACTTTGAAACTCGTTCAAGGCTCGAGTTTCGAGTTTGAAAACTATCAGGAATGTTCCAAAACCATCTAAAATGCTTCCAGAAAAATCCAGTTTGAATTTTCTAGAAAATTCCAAAAATGTTCTCTGCAACAGACTCGTTGAAATTCCATAAAAATCGTTGAAATTGTTTTTTAAAACTTGTTCAAGGCACAAGTTTCGATTTTGAAATCTCTCCACAATGTTCCAAAGCCATCTAAAATACTCCAGAAAGTTCTAATTTGAATTTCTAATTTTTTAGAGAAATTCCTAAATGTTTCAAAAACTCATAACTTCATTAATAATAGCTCAATCGCTTTGAGTTTTTAGTATTTTTTACATTGAATCATTAGGAAAAATTTCTCAAAATTTCAACTTTCCACGCACTTTAGTTTTTGAGTGAAAAAATTGTTTGTAAAGTCTTACCTACTTTACAAAACATCATTATTTTCAAAAAATCGTAACTTCAATAATAATAACTCAATTGCTTTGAGTTTTTAGTATTTTTTACATTGAATCATTAGGAAAAAAACCTCAAAATTTCAAATTTCCACTGACTTTAGTCTTTAAGTGAAAAAATTGTTTGTAAAGTCTTACTTTACAAAACATCATTATTTTCAAAAATTCGTAACTCCATTAATAATAACTCAATCGCTTTGACTTTCTAGTATTTTTTACATTGAATCATAAGGAAAAAAACCTCAAAATTTTAACTCTGCATTCATTTCAGTTTTTGAGTGAAAAAATTGTTTATAAAGTCTTACTTTACAAAACATCATTATTTTCAAAAATTCGTAACTCCATTAATAATAACTCAATCGCTTTAAGTTTTTAGTATTTTTTACATTAAATCATTATGAAAAAGTCCTCAAAATTTCAACTTTGCACTCACTTCAGTTTTTGAGTGAAAAAATTGTTTGTAAAGTCTTACTTTACAAAACATCATTATTTTCGAAAAATCGTAACTTCATTAATAATAACTCAATCGCTTTGAGTTTTTAGTATTTTTTACATCGAATCATTAGGCAAAAACCTCAAAATTTCAATTTTCCACTCACTTTGGTTTTTGGGTGAAAAAATTGTTTGTAAAGTCTTACTTAACAAAACATCATTATTTTCAAAAAATCGTAACTCCATTAATAATAACTCAATCGCTTCGAGTTTTTAGTATTTTTTACATTGAATCATTGGGAAAATGTTCTCAAAATTTCAACTTTCCACTCACTTTAGTTTTTGAGTGAAAAAATTGTTTGTAAAGTCTTACTTTACAAAACATCATTATTTTCAAAAAATCGTAACTCCATTAATAATAACTCAATCGCTTTGACTTTCTAGTATTTTTTACATTGAATCATAAGGAAAAAAACCTCAAAATTTTAACTCTGCATTCATTTCAGTTTTTGAGTGAAAAAATTGTTTATAAAGTCTTACTTTACAAAACATCATTATTTTCAAAAATTCGTAACTCCATTAATAATAACTCAATCGCTTTAAGTTTTTAGTATTTTTCACATTAAATCATTATGAAAAAGTCCTCAAAATTTCAACTTTCCACTCATTTTATTTTTTGAGTGAAAAAATTGTTTGTAAAGTCTTACTTTACAAAACATCATTATTTTCGAAAAATCGTAACTTCATTAATAATAACTCAATCGCTTTGAGTTTTTAGTATTTTTTACATCGAATCATTAGGCAAAAACCTCAAAATTTCAATTTTCCACTCACTTTGGTTTTTGAGTGAAAAAATTGTTTGTAAAGTCTTACTTAACAAAACATCATTATTTTCAAAAAATCGTAACTCCATTAATAATAACTCAATCGCTTCGAGTTTTTAGTATTTTTTACATTGAATCATTGGGAAAAAGTTCTCAAAATTTCAACTTTCCACTCACTTTAGTTTTTGAGTGAAAAAATTGTTTGTAAAGTCTTACTTTACAAAACATCATTATTTTCAAAAAATCGTAACTCCATTAATAATAACTCAATTGCTTTGAGTTTTTAGTATTTTTTACATTGAATCATTAGAAAACGTCCTCAAAATTTCAACTTTCCACTCAATTTTTTTTTTGTAAAGTCCTACTTCACAAAACATCATCTCCATCTCTGGATCTTCTCTATGATGCAGTGGAAGAAAATCTGGGAAATTTTGACTTTGATTTTTCGGCAGCAAGACCCAATGATTTTAAAACTTCCAAGTGAATGGTAGGTCGGAGAGGTTAAACCATTATTAGCTTTTTTGTTTGACTTGATGAGTTCTACAATCTCTTTATGAAGAGTTTTCCTCTACGACTTACCATAACCGAGTTAAGGCCGGTTGAAGTTTAGTTTCCTGTGTTGAAGGTATAGGGCCAAAAACCAAAGTCAAAATTCCGAAATTTCAAGATAGCCATTTTGTAGAGGAAATCCAAAAACAGACTTATTTCCCTCAACTTTTTTGACTTTCAATGATCATTCGCCATTTTGTGGCAATTTGACACTGCTTCATCAAATTGGCTGTAACTTTTTTGTCTTTGAACCGATTTCTTTGTGTTCCACATTCATCTTTTGAGAGGTGATTAATACTTTCTTTATCAACATTGTGTCCATTTTACTGTCAAAAAAAAAACTTCAAAAAATTCTTTATATCTCGATATCTTTCCTCGTTTACGAAATGTTTACCTGCAAAATGTGTTAATTTATCTAAAGACACCCTGTATATAAAGACTTTAAACTTGTCTCAAACACACAACTGAAATTTATTCATTCCCAACTGAAATGAACTCTAAACAAAGCAAAACAAAACAAATTCCCCCTTATGTGAGTTTATGTACTGTTTCCTTTTTGAACCGTTAAAAATTGAGGCAATAAATAAACCCGACGTGAGGTGGAGAAGCTTTTTTACTTGAACAATAATACTTGGAGCCTGAAGCTTTATATATACAATTTAATTTAGGCAAAATATTCTACATCTGGATGCCGGACATGAGTTTGCGAATAAAATTTTACGACCAAATTGAAGTCACGTACCTTTAGGAATATTTTATTTGGTGAAATATTTTTTTTTATTGCAAAATGAAATCTGGTTGCAATATCGCCAATTTGTATTAGAGCCTAATTACATTTGTTTTTTTTTGGAAAAATAAAAATTGATTAAACTCTATATATACGTATTCAATGGTAATGGCGATTTGATGATTACATTCATCCAGACGAAAACTCGATAAGATCAAGCGAATGTCTACCCCGAACCTATTTTCACCTCTTTTGTGCTTGAAAGGGTGTAAATAACATTTTGTTTGCTCCTGCATTAGAGTGTAAGTAATCGAATATCGACATCCATAAATCAGTTTGTGAAAAGAAGAACCTTCAACAAATAGCCTAATAAAAAAAAATATATGCCTATACCTTCTTATTTCACAATCTTTGAAGTATATAATACATATATACACTTATATATTATAAAGGTATATGTAGTAAAAAATGGTTTTATGTACATTTTATTGCTGTCCAGTAAAAGTTTTGGCTTTACGATTATTCCTTTTTAGCATTTTATGTTTAATCCATAAATGTTGTTTCAGAAAACGCTACAAGAGAATGTTCCTACAACGGTACCTGGCACAAATCAACCTACGACGATTGTACCGAATTGGAAATGTACCCAACCAGCGTGGAAACGCAAACCAACATCTACTTAATCGGATACATTATCAGCTCAGTGACATTAGCCATAGCTATTTTTATATTCACCTATTTTAAGTAAGTAGATACCAACTGAAACTGAAATAAACAAAACTCGATTAGCTTTATTCCATTTGTGCTGACATCGATATTGGAAATGTTCATTAGAGCTCTACTATACATATGGGAATTGATTATCATAAAACCGGGACAAAATTGCAATAAAACTGGATCCCAAAAATAATATCTATCGACGAAAATATTTTCTTCGATTGTTAATCTTTATAAATTGCTAGAGCTGATTTTATGGCGTCTGTCTAATGAAAACCGAAAAGTAATCCAGAGTCGGGAAAATGTATAATTTATTTTTACTGCACCCAGATCGTAAATTATTTTATGTTTACCGGAACTGGGTTGGTAAATATAAATAGATAAAAAGTTGCGGGCCTGGCAAGGAGTTTACCAACAATAATAATTGCAATCAGTTTCTTGAGGTACATTAACAACTTTAATCGACTTTACGAAAGTTTACTTATAGCTTTCATTTGTCTAACAAACAATTAAGGTTTCTGCGTTGTTGTGCAGCTTACCAAAACACTATTGGATTTGAAAATGTGCTTACAACTTGTACATCGTCAACGTCAATACTGGTTCTATAGGCGAAGCTTAGAAACTTCCTGATTTCAGGTCACACTCCAAGTTTTTTGAATATAATTTATTCCTTGGTGGAAAGATTCAATTTCTTGACGAACACATGTACTTTTTATCTTTTTTTATTGCATTCTTGATTCTATTATCTTCTTGCCCTTCCAGAATTCTCTCTCGATTCCACACGGTTCGGTCGATCGAGTGTATGCCACTGGTATCACCCTGTTTCTGATAACCCTCCCAACCTTCCTTGTTAGTATGAATTCAAACCGATGTACAGTTTTTGAATAATTGTCATATGATTATGAAATTCTGTATATTTCTGTATATTGTAGGTCGACCGAGTGTACGCCACTGGTATCGCCTTGTTTCTGAGAACCCCTTCTGTGATACTATTGACTACAGAGTGATAGTAATACACGTAGGTTCAAATAATTGGTTTTATTACGATTACACACTATTGAAAATAAGAAACATGTTTTTGTGTTGAAAACAAAACAACTCTCTACCAAACTTAACATAACCTCTAAGAAACATCTAGGTACCCTAAAAACTAAAGCTGATAATGCCATGTTGCCAAGTCTAGCAACTTACATGGCTTGATCTAAATATCATCACATCTCCCCCTTCAGTTTGGAAATAATATTATTTAAATTTTAAACTTAAAACTTTTACTCAATGAACAAAACTTCTTCTAAACCATATTATAATCATTAAATTTGGATCGCAACTTAACAAGTCTTTTTCCAGCATCAGGACCGATACGACCATTTTTATCATATCCAATGTCAGAGTCAGAATGCGAATGAAACTCCTCTGACCTGAGATTTTTGAGAGTTATTATCATCATTGAGCTCATCAGATGTGCGATTATTCCTCAAATGGAAACTATTTCTACGGACTTCCTGACCATTATCCTTCTGAACTGTGTAGGACCTGAGAACAGACAATCTTTTAGAAACTGTGCCTGGTTGCCAAGTCCTACCCTCTATCATCAACTCCAAAAGGATCTTCAACCATAGTTTACCCATCATAGTAGTATTTATATAGTTTTCGTTTATTTTCAATTTTTTCTTTCTCCCTTTCATAGTCAATGATTTCAGGTTGTAATAGGTATTTCATAACTGGTGTCACGAGTGTTCAGTTTATTTTATTAGAAATATATGCTTTTCACTTATTATTGGCGTAGCATTATCCATGGAAATTTGGCAGCATGACCCTCGTTTAATAATGACAGTAGGTATATGTCAAATTCCAGACAGTTTTAAGTGTAGTTTACATAATTTCGTAAGTGCCGCGGTGTCAAAATTTTCTGGCCTATCTGGCAAATCAAATTTGACACATTTTTCAATGCATTTTTCAATAATGCTATATTATAAACGGTACCTAACTATTTTGCGTACCTGCAAAATCTAATAACATTTTTTAAAATTCGGCATTGTCAAATTTCTTTCGTATTGAAGATGCCGAAAATAATCTCAGAAGAAAAAAAAAAGGAAATATTAAAATGTCATGGTTATTTAAAAAAAAATAAACCAGAGGCTCTTCAGGGAACAATTGAAGCCCAACTTGCAGATATATTTGAGGTAGGTATAACTTAAATGTAGATGTAAAGCCATTTCTTACCCAACCAACATTTTCCTTAAATTTTAGGTGAGAACCAGGACTATTCAAAGAATTTTGACTGGACAATATACAATCAAAAAACCTTTAGGCCGACCGAAAAAGACAGAGATGACTATTATGGACCGAATGTTTAAAGAAGATTTACAACGACAAATTTGGAAATACAATTCTAAAAATGAATATTTTACATTACAAACATTACTGACATTTTGAAAATTTGGAATTTAAGGGAGGGCAAACAAGTTTATATAAAATTTTAAAATCTATGGGATATAAATTTAAATTAGTAAATGGACGCAAAATTTTATGTGAGCAGAAGCATGTTCTTGCTGCTAAAATTACATTATTGCGGAAATACCTCCAATATAAACATTCAAACGAAAATATCAGATTCGTGTATTTAGATGAAACTTGGATCTACCAAAACGGATCTCAATTTCGTCGATGGATACACGAATCTGATTGAAAAGCAACCCATCCAAAATTAAGTCAGAGGGGAAACGTTTTACTAGTTTGCATGCGGGGAGTAGTTCTGGGTTTTTAGATGGGTGCGATTTTTTTCTAGATTCAAGAAACAATGACAGAGACTACCACAATACCATGAACGAGGATTCCAAAAATGGGTCGTTGATCAACTAATTCTTGCATTGAATATATTTGAAGAGAAATGTGTAATAATCATGGACAACGCTCCATATCATTCAGAGCAGAAGGATAAACCACCTTCATTCTCTTCAAAGAAAGACAAAATGCAGGAATAGTTGGTTAAACATGACGTAGATTTCGACACAAAAATGACCAAAAAACAACTATGGGACCTAATTCAACCATTTCGGAATAGACCAAAACAATACAAAATTGACGACATTTTGAAAAGCCATGGACACGAAGTTCTTAGATTACCTCCTTATCATTGCCAATATAATCCTATTGAAATGGCATGAAGGTTTTGTAAGAACTTCTATAATAAAACTATAACTTCGCAGCCACCATCCACGGATAGGGTTGCGGGGGTATGGCGTGAGTCTTTCAAAATGTACCTCAAACATGTGGACGAATTTTTGTAGACATTGTGACAGACTTGTTTCAGAAGACTGGACAAAATACACGGGAGACTTACCTTTCAAAAATATTCCGGCTTTCATTATTTCTCTCGGAGAATCCGATTCCGAATCGGATTCAGAAATGTTGTCTGAATCTGAGGAGGTATCTAATTCTTCAAGTGAAATGGTGGAGGCTCAAACCCGAAAAAAAAGTTACTGCAAAATAGTACATTAAAATACAAGTTTCATAAGACGTCATTTTATCGCACGAGCCCCATATTAGAAAACGAGCCGGAGGCGAGTTTTCTAAAGGGCGAGTGCGATAAAATGTCTTATGAAACGATTATTTTATACTATTTTTTCTATTTTGGTATTGTTTAATTAAGAAAAACAAATTTTTCTTGAACATTTTATTCTCATATTTCCTGATTTCATATGTTCAGGTTGGTAACACTACTTGCCAAATATAGAAATCTTCTATTATCAATGAACTATAACCAAAAACTGGAATGCTAACACATAAGGAAGAACGTGAAGCCTAGTGCAGCTGCTGCGGAGGGGATACCTGTTTTTGTCGCACTCATTATGTTAAATGGCGAAAATTGCTTCCAACACGTATTCCAATTGATGAAACCTGTGAAGGTAAATATGACAAAACTTTCCAAAACGTCATATGTCAGCGAGCAACAGAAAAAAACAACATTCCCCCTTGTGGCATCTGTCTTTCATGGCTTCATTTTTTGGGCAGATATGGCAATGTACGCGCATTCCAGTTTTTGGCTATAGTTCATTGTCTATTATAAAATCGGGAATGACAGTTCGATAGCCATCAGTCAGCCAGTGTTACCAACCTTCGATAAGTAAAAAAGGAGTGTCACAAAGAGCTTCTTTTCGAAACTACTTTTAGTGTCGAAAAGACTTCAATATGACACCAAAATAGAAAAACATATTTATGCTATTGAGCTTACTGTTATGCCTGTTATGGTTACGTTTAATTAATAAATTGAATAATTTTACTATTTGAATTTACTCAGATATTTTACACATTCTGGCAAATCGGCTTTCTGTTTCATAACCCTGAAATTTGAAAAATATTTTGTCATCAAATGTCATTATTATACGAGGGTCAACCTGTCAAATTTCCATGGATAATGCTACGCCAATAATATGTATTGTTTTCAGTTATGTGAATCGACCTTTATTGAATGACATGTGTCATGGGTGACGGATACAAGAAAATTGGGGTTATGTTATTATTGGAAAATTACATGAGGTAACGGTAGAAAGAAAAACCAATAGGTACAGGTTTCTTTAGTAAATTATTACTAGTGTTTCCTTTACATAAAGACTCAAGCATAACATGACATGGTGCTGCGAAAATAAAGAACTTTGTGCGGAGTAAAAAACTGTAGTGAAAACCTGTGAAAAATGATAACAAAAAATGGCTAGCAACTTGAAACCTCCAGAAGCTTTGAGCCTAGATGGTGACCTGAGAGAAAACTTCAAAAGATGGAAGCAGCAGTTTGCAATATATTTATATAGTGAAATTATTTAAATAGTGTATGCACGTGATCAATGAAGTCGAAATTATTTCCAATTGCAGTTTGTAAGAAATTAAAATTCGTTTCAAGCTGAGAGCTCATTCTCCTTTTTATTTAACCTTAGTTAAAAAAAGACAGAACACTGTTGGCATTTAACCGAATCGGCCGATAAAATGACATTTAGGTTGGCACTTATGTTGCCAAATATTGCTGCAAATCT